CGAATACTAATCCAGTGTTATATTTAGGACTGTTACTATTTAAATTTTATAATAGAAAAAATTTTTAATAACATAAAAGTATGATTTCTGATAGTAAATTTAAATTCATTTATATATAGTGGTTGTGGCAGGGACTGAAATAGTTTTTACACCAATTTTTGATAAGGAAAATACTTCGATAAATCAAAAAAAGATTAACCATATAGAGCATTGACTCAATTTTACAAAACATTTACAATAGTTTTCTCTGGATAATATATTTTTATTTTTTATTTTTTAATATTCCAGCTCTTTTTATGCTATTTAAGACATTTTAATTTCCCAATTTGTAATACATATTTTTCGATTTATCTTGATTAAATTTAGTTAAAAAATCTTGAATAAACATTAATTTAAGGTTCCCTCATAAATTATTATTACGAGCATAAAAAGAATAAGTTTAAAGTGAAATTTTCAAAATATTAATCCATTTACAAACGTATTTACAAATAACGCGTACACCACAAATGAGTAAATAAGTTCGTGGTATAGATTACATAAAACTAATATAAATATTTTAAAAATGCTATTGTACTTAGTGAACATTTTAAATGTACGAGTATAATAGAGTCATAGCAAAAAGTTCTATAAAACTCAACGAACAATATTTTTAAATAACAATAAAAACTAAAATCGATATTTTTCGTTTAAATATTATATTTGATTTCGACAAAATTGAAATCTACGAGAAAAGAAACTTTACTGCATTAACTATTATTAAGCATTTAAATTTAAAATTTTTATATTCATTCTATTGTATTATACTATTTAGCAGTTAGTAAAATAACATAAAATAATATTTTAATTGTTTTATTTTTGCTATAATTATTATTAAATAAAAAGCAAATTAAAAAAAAAAAAAAAAAAATTGTTTTATTAAAAATACCAAGCATTAATTAATAAAAATCACGACAGACTATTTTATTTACATTTTAGAAAACAAAATTAAATTAGGTACTTCATTTAAGGTAATAACTATTAAACATTTTTTGATAATAGAAACATATTTTATCAAGATTTATACCAAAAATGGTATTATTTATATATACATATTACATACATATATATCAATTGATGATTGTATGATAATTTTTAACTAAATTCAATGGTGCAAATATTTATGATATTTATATTTCAAATAACTTTAGACATTAGACATCAATTAAAACAAATAATTCATAATTTATAAATCGATACGAAATGTTTATACAAATCAGTGTTGTCTGTTAGTCTGATAAGTCTGAATTATACACGAACTATAATACCTTCTTTTGTGTATTGAATGCACAGGGAATTTATCTGCAACTTTCTCATCTAGTTCTATTATAATCTAATAAACCATGCTATAGGTATCTACCAACTAATTATATATAATTTTAAGAAACCTCTAAATTTTAACATGGATTGGCTTTTTTTTTAAATTATATAACAAAATTTATGGAATCTCCGTGAAATCCAGATTTATAGGTATCCGATTAATAAAATAATGTAACCAATTTATTACATTAAAGTTGTCGATACTATTTTGTAATTTTATTGTTTAATGCTTAATATATTTTTTTTTGTAAAACTACAAGTATACATTTAAAATTCATAAGTCATAACTTTAAGACATAACATACACTGTCATATAGGATGAATCACCAAAATTTCCCGAATTCCAGCATTAATTTTACAATAAAACTTTAAAATACGATTGCCCTCACTCAAATATTTATATACAATAATACAGTATTTCCTATCAAGTGCCTATATATAATATTTATACATAATGAAACAACAATAACATTATAAGTTATTAAAATAGGCACCTAAATAGCAAAAATTAATAAAATGTATAATGGATAATTTTAAGCGACCAATCTTTACTAGATATTACTAATTTTGATGATGAAGCAAAAAACCAAAAATTAAATTCTTATTTTTTGCCTCTAATTTTCGTCACACACTTATACTTAGTATTGTAAGATTATAATGAAATATATAATAATACCTTTTTTTTAGAATACTCGAATAAACCGGCAAAAAAAAATATACGTACTACATACTCGTATTATAAAAATTAAGATAAAACCTATACCTACAACTATTAAAGAATAAAAAAAAAAACACGAAAATCAAGACTGTACACAAAGTGTTTTTGGATAACGCACACAATGAACAAAGTATCTATAGTATCTACCTACCTACCTGGTGTTATTAGTAAACTAAAAATAAAACCCTAAAAAAACGAAATAAATCAAATGTTAACCTTGAGATAATCTGACCTAATATTATATTCGTTGCATAAATGTTTATAGGTACCATAGTAGGTACACCACTGAATACCTGTCGGCCATCAGTTAAATTTTTTTCCACTTTTGTAATTTATTATAAAGTACAATTTGGAAAAACCTACCAATTTATAACCTTTAAATGATATAATACTTTTTATATAAAAAATAAAACATAGCTATATACACATTTGACAGGCTACGCTCATTTCTTGATAAGTATGTACATTTTTTTAATACAAACTATGTTATATCATTGTACGCGTAATTCAAAAAAAAAAAATGAAAAAATTACATTATTTATTTTTTATTAGGATTTTTCGAACTTCAAAATCAAAACTATTTATTTAATAATTATAATTTATACGTAAAAAGATAAAGATACACTCTATATAATTTTAATTAGACTTAGAACTACCTATAATTGTAATGGTTACAGAAAAAATAAAAATATAGAAAAAATGATATTTAATTTTTTGAGAAAAAAAGTCTGATTAACTAATCACAGGTACGTAAAGAATTCAGACCAAGTTCTAATTTATTATGCTGTTATAATGCTCGAGTCTAGATTATAGGTTAAAGTACAACATTTCCCATTATATAGATCATAGATGGGTAGCAGAATGCAAGGCAATAAATATAAAAAAATTAATCTGTAATATAAGATAACAAAACACATTCAATAAAACTCAATCGAAAATACTGTATAGTATTAGAAAACCAATCGGAGCTTAATCACATCAAAATAGAAAATCTAAATAGTAATAGTAATTTTTAAATGAGCCAAAATAATTTATAATGCTTTAATTTAAGAGAAGACAAAGCTAAAAATGTGTTGCAAAACCAAGGTGATCCAACAACAAAAATATGTAAACTCGGCAACACTGGTTTACGAAACCTTTATTTGTAAATGTTCGATAATGATAATATATGAATTTTTTAATAATAATATTAACCATTGTATACGTAAACAAAATAAATATTAATTTACATGAAAATTAATCAATGGTTTTTTTTTTTTCTGACATTCCTATAAATTATATACTTGTTTACTGAACAAACGGTTCTTTTAAATACATTATTTTAGCTTTAGATTATAATTTATTAACATAGTGAATATCGAATATAAAATGTACATATTTACGTAAAATTTATAGTTAAAAAGCTTTTTAAGTTTATATGATTAGAAGTGGAGTGGTAAGGTTGGGATTTGAGACTCATAATTATATTTTATTTAATATTTAACTTAAAAATACAATACCAGATAACCATATAGATATAGTAAAGAATTATCTATTTCCTATATTACTAAGTAATAATTATACATTACTGTGTGTCTGTATATGTGTACACAACAATAATTAAAGAAATTTCCTACTATTCTACTCCAGAACATAAAATTTAAAAACCAAAAATATAAGTCATATCTATTACAAACTGGTAGAATAAACGATTACAGTCCACTTGTGTGGTTAACGATAGACAATGTCTCTAACCAATACACAAAATCTGTTAACGAATTACTTTTACAGCGAAATCCACTCATTCAACTTAATGAACTATAACATATTACCTATAACATATTACATCGGTAGACGACATTAGTAGTTGGGGAAAAGGTACCTATATTATTATTATTTACAAGTTAACATATTTAATGTTTATGCAAGGTATCTATATACCTATATATTTATTTCAAATAAAAAATATCATTGAATTAAACCAACGTTTCAGTGTTTTCAAGCACCTACTACAGAGTATGGTATAAATATGAAAATCCCTAAATTAATGTCGATCAAACAATAATATAATTAGAATTTTATGACCACACGTTGTACGACATACAGGGAGGTATACATTTAGATATAATAGATATAGTTGGTGGTACGCCTCCTCGTTAATGATTCGCCAAATAAGATTTAGGCAAACCATACAATTTCTGCGAATATTAGAAAAGGACAATAACATGACTCTATTAAAATAATATTACATGCAGAAATACTCGTATCAGAAGTGAATAACAGTTTTTGTAGACCCACTTTGTACTAACCAGTAAGTTTATGTTTATCGTATTCGTATACTTATAAGTCATACTATATTATTATCGAATGTTTGTATTAGTTTTGTTAGAGTTAAACGGACAAAATGGATTTGATTTATTAACTAACAAGAAAGCGCTGAATGTGCGAAAACGATGTACGCAATATGTGGTCGGTGGCGGGAAGTGGGCGAGACGGTTATTTAATTTTTTCTTCCCCACCTGGAGAATCAGCGGCGATACTTATTACAATAACGAGAAGCGCGAGCACTCCGCTCGCACATCCCCTGGAGATATGTACAAAACGGTCAGTTTAGCATCGTGACCTTTGAGAAACCATAATATTATTTACGCAGACTCCTGTCATTATATCTGTCCCAAACCATCCTCATCGGAATAGGCTCTCAATCTCAGACAACTGATGATGATGGAAAACGGAATACAATTTTGCTCATCTATCCAGACCTCGTCTGTCGATTTTTTAAGAAAACACTGTACAGATCAGAAACCTGTGGGTGGGAGCAATCCCCTAACGAAATGTACTCGTACTACAATAATGTCTTTGGACCATGCGACGGAATAAGTTAAACACGACAATCACAATACATTTTAATAATAACTACGTTACGTGTGTTAGAATTCGTTCTTACCGCCGGTCAGCACGATTTTGTAGAGTTTCTTGATTTTACCATCCATTGCGAATATTTTCGTGAAGCGATTGAAGACGGACGAAACTGGACCGCGTGTTAAGTGTTAACTGCTGATTGACAACGGCGGTTGTGGCGTGAGAACCATGTGACTTTTGTTGTTGGCGGTGGCGACGACTGTATCGTTCATACGTTGAGTCCAAAATCGGAAGAGACCGTTCGTGCGATGACGGAGACGATACACCGGCGGTGTAAATAAAATGACTGTTCGGACGATTTCTCGACGGAACTCATTGCACGCAGCAATAATTGTTTGTTATTATTATTATTGTGATTGTTACAGTCGCGTGTTTGCGGGAACTACAAAACGACAAGAAAGAGAGAGGGAGAAAAACGAAAAGCTAAAAAAAAATATAATTATTATTTCCGCCGTAAAACAACGACTGGACTAGCGCAAGCGTGCAAACGTTGCGCGTCCTGGCAACAGCCGACTGGCGAGTAACGACGACGAGTGTGACCGCGTGCGCGAAGTGAGCGTTTAACTGGGGCGAGACGACGAAATTAACGACGACGAGCACACTCGATTACGACTTCTCGGGTGCTGCCGTGCTGAGTGCTGGTACCCACCGACGACAAGACGTCGCCTACTCCCGTCAATTATATTGTTATCATTGGCCGCCGTCGTTCCAGTTTATCACTCGATACGACTGCTGTTATCTACAGGTTTCACCCACCCGCCATCTGCTCCGTGAACATAACAGCTGCTCTATGACCATTATCAGTTGCACTGAGTTGACGAGCCCGAACGTCGACTTGGTCACCGTCTATCAGAGTTGGGCAAAATTGTATCTTCTAAGACCTAAGTTAATAAAATTATTATTCGAATAAATTTTCAACTATGGTTATTCGAATAATTTCATAACATAATACTACCTAGTACAAAATATGTTCTTTTAATTCTTCTATTATACTGATAAGTATAATGTTATTTATTAATATTTGAATTATAATTAAAATTAGTTACTATTACTATTATTAGACTGTTTAGACCTATTTATTGAAATTTAAAATTTGTTATAATTATTTATTTTATTTTTTGTTATTATTATTTAATAGCTTAATATTATTTATTATTGTTGTAATTATTACGAAAATAATTATTATTATTAAAATATGATTAAAAAAAAACATAATATTAAATCCTTTACTTTCTTCTAATGATATATATTTGTTTTATTTATAATATTTATTTTAGGATTTATTTCGAATAAAATACGATTTACAATCGTATAACTTAATATACCATGCCAATTTTGTTTTTAATATGTGTTTGTTTTTTTAATTATTAACCATGTTTATTCAAATAAAATAATTGAAAATTATTCGAATAACGCCCTTCTCTGCCGTCTACCGACATTTATTGCTATTGATAATTCATTATTATATTAATAGTACCTATACTAATATAGTAATATACTATGTAATATTTAAATCATATATTATTACTATTGACTTTTAAGTCAATCCGGACTTACCGTAGAACATTATGAATAGATTCGTTGTATAAAATATAAAGAATAACCATAAGCACAATACGGGGTAAGCTTGGCGCCCGGGGTCATTATAGGCATCTTAATGGCTAATGCACATCATTGGTCAAATTAAAACGGGATAACTGGTTTTAGCACCACTAGTTTTTTTTTTATTGAAAAGGCGCCACCGGCAATAACTTACATCAAAAGTTCCAAGATGGCACGGATTCGTATTTCGTAATAATATTTCTGAGCTACTCAGCTACAAAACAGTAACTAAATCCTTTTTTTTTTTTACAAATTCACTTACTTCATGAGAAAAGAAGTCCACCATTATTGGAGGCACTTCTATTGAAATAAATTACTTTAATTTATATTATTAATACTATGTACCTATTAATATTTTATTTATTTTTATTATTATTGGAATGTGAAGAAACCACGTCAATTGCTTATATTTATATAGAATCAAACCAAGGTATCAAAGTTTGTGTTAGTAGAAATAAGATTGTTACTAAAGAAAATTTGAGGAGGAGTTTTTTCCGGAGTGTGAATGTTATGTAACAACTAACAAGATTTGCTTTTATTTAGTTTTACGCGCCATTGTGGAAATAATTACGCATTTCATTGAGTTGTGATTACAAATGGGATGAAATAATTATGTGATTTTCGTTCATGACAAGATCATCAAGATCTAAATTCTAAGTACCTTTGTCATTGCTGTAGTCTGCAACGTGAGTTTTTGGGTGGTTGGTTGATCAGAGGTTAAGAGGTGTAATTAAAGGTGTAAGAAGATGTATTAAACAAAATAGATAAAAATATAACTCTCTGAGGTATAAGTATACCCAAATTAATAGAATAAATTAGAGATATTTTATTATTTATTTTGGTGGCAAATAGACGGGTTTCAAGATAGCTCTTGAAAAATAAAAAACAAAATGATGGAAGAATGTAACGCAGTTTTAATAGGAGACCTGGATACCAGATTTTATCAAAGGCCTGTGAAAAGTTTAGCATTATTGTTGAGCATTACAGTTTTTGCTCTAGAGTGTAGGAATGAGAATATTAGATCTGCAAGTCAGTATGTTTGGTGAAGTGTAGAATGTCTTTTGTAAAAACCAAATTGATAATCTGGGATTATTTTTTTATCTATAAATCATTATGTTTGGGTGTATACGTTTCAAATTAAATTTTTCAGATAGTTTCGCGGAAAATGATAACAAACTTTAAGGTGCATAGACGCATAGTAAGTCGAGAGATTTTGCGGTTTGTTCGGTTTATCGGTTTATTTGATAAATAAATAATAAAGAATTTCTATTGTAGAGGAAAGTTTAATAAACGAATAATTTAATAAAGTATACCCATGTAAATGTAATGTTAGCATTATCCATTATATACCTACCTACTTTATTTTGGAAGTTGTCGAGTCAAAAATAATTGAGTAAACAATTCCCTTAACATTTATATACTTGTAAAACACTGAAACCTTTTCGGATCTGAAGGAGGAATAAATTAAAAATGCTGTTATATTTTTCTATTTTTTTTTAAACGCAGTCGTATTCGATCAAGTCATGTTACGTTTAACGATCGGCTCGAACAAAACGTCCATCTCCAGAAAATTTGGCGGGTAAAATGATTATTGACAACGACTAAACAGCCATATCACATTTTTGTTGGTTCACCCGGTGAACTTCACTGTTCAAGTATTTCATATTTGTGTATTTACAGTTGAACTTTAAACGCAGAGACGCAGAGTGTTAGACGTTATTAATTTATTAATATTTATTTTATCGTAACACCTGAAATTACTATTTAATAATAATAAAATGTAAAGAAAAATCTTATTCAATATTAAACTTACGATCATGGACGACAGAGATTTTAAAGTCGAGTATGATAGTGATGATCAGGAAGAGGACTCAGATGCAGAATATGACAATCCGTCATCGCCCAAGACCGATGTCGACGATAATTGCTGTTCGAACAAATGCTTGTTAATGTTTGATGACGAGTTCAAGACACGTCTTAAGACTGATCTATCACAGCTACAAAGATTTGAAAAACACATTTATCTGTTCGCGATGATTTCCATTGACGAAAACAAAATAAATGCCACAAAAATCGTAAAATCTTCAAAATATTTCCAATATGCTGTCAAACATTACGGAGTTACTCGATCTGTATGTAAAAGTGCGTTTGTTATTCTGCACGATACGACTCCATCACTAGTACGAACATTATGTACAAAGATGACTATAGGACATATAATACCTACAGACAATCGTGGGAAACATAGTAATCGAATGACCATAGCCAACGAAACAAAAATTGCGATAAAAGAGCACTTCTTTAGCATCTTGAAGTCGCCTAATGTAAGTTAAACATTTAAAAATAGGCCTATTATTGATACCTGTTTAATATAATATAAGTATGTTTTCTTTTGTCTTTCTCAGATATTCAAATGTGCTAAGAAAAATCTAGGCCAACCTAATATTTCTCAGTTGTGGATTAGTTTTAAACAGAAACATGGTTAGTATGATAAAATTTAAATAGTATATTGTTGCACATTCAACTCAAACTTGTTTTTGAAATTTAGTTAAGGTGGAGTGGAAATGAAGGCATTACATATTATTCTATCATAATATCTTGTTTTTTTTTTTATTCTGGTGTATACTAGTAGTTATGAAAATCTATTGTACCTTTATTTTACTATTAAGTTCAGGTTTCTTATTTTTAGTAATTTGTAATATTATATTTCAAAGAATTTAACTCCCAGTTCAATTTACAGTATTATTCATTATTCAAGATGATTAAACATAATTTTATTTTACTACATTTATTTATCATTTTTATTAACTAAAACTCATGCTAGTTATTCTATTTTAATTTAATCTAAAATTTTTTCTAATAAAGACAGCATTTTGTCGAGTTTAGTGAAATATTAAACATCTTTATTTTTAATGAATTTATTCCAACTCAATACCTCAGTTATCAACATTCAATCAGATGATCATAATTTGACACAAAATCATTATTTATTTATCATAGAATAAATATAATCATATAAAAATTATTTTTTAAATTCAATTAGACTAAAATAAATATCTTATGGGTTCTTTAAATTGAGATTGTGATTGGGGTGAAACTAATTTAAATTATTTAGAATGTAATGTTGTTTGAATAAATTATTTTATTCATCATGATTTCAGGTCATATATCTCGTTCAACATACACAAAATATGTACAATCATTATTAACACCAGAAGTTATATCAAGTTTTATGTGTGCAAACCAAGCAAAACAAATTTTACAGTACATAAATAAAAATAAATGATGTTGAAGATAAATTTAAAATTAACTATATTTATTTTGTATAATAAAAATTTGATAATTTTTATTATTTAAGAAGTATTAATAACTGATAAGTATAAAATAAATATCATATTATAAATATTATGTATCCATATTTGTTAGCATAAGTGTAGTTAGAGGGCTTAGCTGACAAAACCCTCCGCGAGTCAGTACAGGCGGTCCTTTTGGAAATCAATTCCAATTTTATGAAACAAAACAAGACTTCTTATAATCTTATGGAAACAACCGTACTATGTATTGTATGCTCAGGTTACAAATAATAATTAATCCTTTCCTTATTTCCTTAGCTGCATCACCACTTTTACTTATTTAATTTTATGTATATTTAGCACTATTATTTATTTTTATTTTTTTATATTTTAGCTTTCTTGTACTCTAACTACTCGCTTGTATATATTTTATATTTATCTACAATATCTTTTTTAGTAAGTAAAATTGTTATTTGGCGCTAAAAAAAACATAAATAACAATAATTGAATGCGTTAGTTAATTTTAAGTATTCTATGGGCCAACATATAGGTTGGCTAAAATTCTGTATACATTTATATTTTTAATTTTTAAATCAATTATAATTATGAATTTTAATTATTTATTAGTTACATATGTCATTAGTTAAGTTAGTACTTGATATTTGTGCATCATAAATTTGTTTAAAAAAAATATAAGGTACTAATGTTCAATAATTTGGGTTGTGTAAATAATAGAATATGAGTTAATATTAGTAATGTATTAAGATGTATGACATGAAATGTAATAATTGAATGAAGAAATGAAAAATTAACATTTCACAAACACAACCCATACTATTTGTTTTATTACAATAATGTAATAAAACTTAATAAGTGACAATTTACAGAATTGATATAGTATTTCATTATGATATTTACTATACATTTTCTATTTTTGGTACTGTACTAGGTGTACTTGATTCCTAAAAGACAATACCCAGTTTTTATTCATTTTAACTGACACTACTGTAGTGCTTAACTCTAAATTACTTATCCACTTATATTGAATTCAAATTTCATGTTATTCAAAGATTCTAATCAAATTTACCCGGTTAGATTACATTACCAAACAAAAACTAGTTGATGGACTACAATAAAAAACGATTGTGTACAGTTTAATAATTGGAATTAAATATTTTCTTAACTTAGTTGATACCAAAGTATCATAACGGTATGAATAAGTTCATGGTTAAATGGGTTAATATATAAATATCTAAATATTTTGAAAATGTCATCATGTATAGAAAATAATATTACACATGACTGTAATTGGAAAACATATTAAATTACTACTAATAGTATTTTTTATATAGCAACAAAATAGATAAAACTGTTCTTATTTTTGTTGAAATTTCAATTTAAAATGTCTGTAAAAAAAAATTATTTATGTACCTACTTGTTATTTTTATGTTTTTGTAAATATAGGTAACTTATTGCAAAAACATTGTATTAAGTTCTCAAACCAAGTTATTAAAAGTGAAAAATGTTATTTGTTTTTATAAAACTATGTTATTAGCAAGTATAAGAATGTTATCAAATTTTGAACTTCAAAAACTTGTTATAATATATTTTTATGTTATTAAATTATTTAAAGAACAAACTTCTGAAGATCCTACCATAAATTATAATATTTTTAAGTTTATTGACCAATTCTTAAAATTATATAAACATTTTATAATTTTAAATACATAAAAATAACTCAAAATATATTTAATTATTTTGAAAATCTAATTGTATAATGTATATATAAAAATATAATTCAAATAATAGAAAAATATTCTAAGCTTCTACAATTAATATTTTTTTAAATAAAAATATTAAAAAAACACATCATTGTAAAATCAATACATTCACTGCTTCGCTCAGGATCTATAAATTGATCATATTATGTAAGAAGAAATCGTATTTTATGTGCTAATTCAATTGCATAAAAAGTATACATGGTTTTATGCTTAACAATTTGTTTTTTTGATTTCTGATTGAAAAAAAATATGAGATGTTGTAATTTGTAAACATTTTTGGGTTTAATTTAAAATATATCCATATAATATTAGATAGATCTAAATGATCTAATAGAAAAAAATACTAATAGACCTTTACCTAAATTACCTACATTATTAATTGACAGTTATTAATGATAATTAGCTTAATAGACAATAATATATTTTTAGTAGGTATATTGTATAAATTTTCACCAACGCCCACCGCAATCTAGAATTTCTGGTCTAAAACCTCAGGACTTAGATTAAACCCAGGATGTAAATACTAATTAAAAAATACTATAAAAAATACTTTTAGATAGATTTTTTTACTAATTTTATAGTGAATAACAACTATACGTTTATAATTCACATAATATATCATATATATAATATGTCTAGATAGACTAAACACTAAACAGTAGTTCATATACACTCATCTCATTGTTTCCTTTTTAAGTGAACACTAAACATAAAGAATTAAAATAAAAAAATATTTTTTCGTAATAAAAATCTTACATAAGATTGTATAATTCGTATTATCCTGATAATCCGATTGTATACTAACTAGTAAAATTTATTTTGCTTTTTTTCTTCCTAAGTGTACTATTTTTCTTATTTTTTTTGCATGGTTATTAAATCTTTATATGTTGTACTTTCTAATTTAAATAAAGATGGGGAAATGCTTTTTTATTGTTTTATTTTGCTAGAAAATTTGAGCTTTGTTTGAAAGTACAGTACTTATATTACTTAATTAAATCATATTTCAATCACAAATAAATCAAACGAGATTTTGTTTTAAAATTCTAATAAATAAACATGACCAATATGTAAATTATTTTTTTATTTATTTATACATAATAACTTATACAATACCTATGTATGTATTATTCGTGTATCGTATATCGTTGTTGTAACTCACACATAGGTTCAGTTATGACTTATGAGGAGGGGAGGAGTGTTAGGGGTTTTCTAGTATTCTCAAAAGGCCAAAAATCCAAATCATAATACTTAATTTTTAGTTTTTACATATGTAGCTATTCTATATTAATAAATAAATAATGCGTTTTTGATTGTTTGAATTTTTAATTCATTATTTTGGCAATCTGTGTTTTGATTGTTTTGAAATTTTTTATCCTGGATTTATTGTAAATAGTTTTATACTAATAATAGTTACCACAATAGATATTATCAATGGCATTATGTTGGGGAAATACCATACAAAAAAAGGCTTTTCCTGACGTGTAATAATTTCTTTAAATTTCAGGAAGTTTTTGAACACGTGATTGTAGTATTTCAAATTTCAATATTATGCAGTAAATCAATTATTTATTATTAAATTAATTGGTAAGTACCTACCTATGTTACTATATTATTTACAACGGTTGAATGAAAAATATTTTACAGTAACACTTTCAACTTTGTGTATAGTATCCATACTATTCACCGTAAAATTCCTTGTGTCAAGTGCAGTGTACAGTAGTCCACATTTTTACCCACTAAAATTTAAAAAACTTACTAAACGTTTAACTAACGAATGACGATCGTCGAATATTTTCTAATGCCGTACTGTATTGTTACGTCATCCAGTCACAGGTTCTTTGCGGTAATAAAATGAAATAAAAATATAACATAATGCATAACGAATAACGATATTACATTCAGCCCATTCAGGCATATCTTATTTACCAGATACTAGGTAGTATACCGTATGCCATACGAGTTTCTGTAATTTTTGGAATATTCAATAAGATATTATGAATAACTTGAAATCGGTTAGTTTTAGATAAGTACAATGTGAAAACAAGTAGAATAGTTATTTTCATAGGAAACAATACGTGTTGGAACTTATGTGAATTGTATGGTTTGTTTTTATATTTTGTTGTTATTTGTAATATTGTATTTTTATATGGAAAATTGTAAGTATGTACTATGAAAGATCTAACCTAACTATTATGTTTTGGTGCCGCTCAAAAAAATGACTATTGAGTAATGAATATTGAATTCCCGATTCCCGTCGAGGTACCGTTGCAGTCATTACACCAACGGGCAACGATACATCATCAATATTTATTTTTACCCTTAACTTTTATTTATTAATGTTGATAACTTAATTAAAAATAAAATATTATGTGTAATTATATAATATCCTAAGACCTAAATTGTCAGACCGCCAGGCAAGTAAAAACAAAAACGTGTGCCTGCAGTGTGCGTTTGGTTTTGAGTTCGTCCCCTCCACTGGTCAACCTGTGTTGAGTGAGATAAGAACAATTTAATTAATTGTTATTAATAATAATATAGTAGTAGTAGTAATAATAATAATAATAATAATAATAATAAAAAGAAAAAGAAAAAATAATACTTAAATAGAACATTGATTGTTATTTGTCGGTACTTGGTTTATTAATGGCCTCGTCCTTAGCAATCTTTGTATGCTATTCATCCCGTCAAACGTGAACGTTTTGGCGTCCATTATACGGATGTCTCTGAACAGCCCACTAGCACGGTAAGTCCACCATTTCTCATTTTTACACAACGATATACTTAGTTGCACAATGCACACACACTCACGTATAGGTGTATAATAATGTGTTATTATTATCACCTATGTATTATATTCACTCAGTGTCACATTTTGATACGAAATGTGCAATCGATTGCGGTCGGATGGACACAAACGCACAAATCGCACTTTTAAAATGCTTGCACTCAATGTATTGTTCATCGTTATTGTTTGGCTACTATAGGGTTTGTGGATTATAACAACTGTCGTCTGTGTTTGATTCGGGTTTACAATGACTGCCGATCACTTCTGTTTGAAATGGAACAATTATCCTTTGAACATGGTTACCGAGTTGGACAGTCTTCGCACTAGTGAAGACCTGGTGGATGTTACTTTATCATGTGATGGACAGTTGTTCAAAGCTCATAAAGTTGTGTTGTCTATGTGCAGTTCTTACTTTCGAAATGTGTTCAAGGTAAACCAAAACACTCCTTACTTTTCAAACTGCACTAAATTTTAAATTTTGGTTTTTTTTTAATGCAATGGAATTCTTTGTACATAAAGTAATAGTCTATTTTTATTTTTAGGATAATCCTTGTAGGCATCCAGTTGTAATCTTGAAAGACATAAATCAAGATGATGTTCAGGCATTGCTCAATTTTGTGTATCAAGGCACTGTTTACATATCAGAGAAAAAATTAGCATCGTTTTTACGGACTGCTGAATTGCTACAGATTAGAGGTCTTGCTGGTGCAGCTTCTACTATAAATACAGATCTAGTACATAATATTGTTCTTAACTCAGTTACAATTATTTAATGGTTAGTTTATTTTTAGGAGTCAACCAGAACGAGTTTAGAGAAAAATAATATGCCTCCACTACAGCAACTGTCTACTAATAATAATCAAGATGAAAAACATGATACATCAACTTCAACAGAGAAATCTGATTCTCCTAAATCTCCCAGTGAAAAAGTTTCTGCTAAGCGAAAGAAATGTCTTCCTGTAAAATTGAAAAAACAATTTGATAATGGCACAGAATTTATGGTGAATTAAATTTTAAATATTTCTAAATTTTACAATTGCTAATTCATTATTTTCCAGGATGAAACGACTGGTAGTGAAACTGACATAATAAGTCGATTAAAAGTCGATGATATTGATGATGGAAATGTAGATACTGACTGTTATATTGATGAAGATGGATCAAAAGATGAATTTTGTGATGATCCATATGCACAAGGACCTGATGTTGATGAATATGAAGATGTGGATTTAGTTAAAGATGAATTTGGTTCGCATTCAACTACAATTTTTGACAAGTCATTAATTGCTTCTCGTATGTTAAATGATCCTAAAGGTAATTACATTTTCTTAAATTGTTTTGCTTATTAAATTTATTACTTAGGTTTATTTTAAATTAACTTATTTAGAAATTCGTACAAGTACATCTAGTGGTATTGATTTTGGTTTATCTTCAGCACAGGCAAATCAATGTCCATCTGAACAATCATTATCAACTGCAGGTATTATAGTCTTTTAAAAATAATTTACACACACACACACACACACATATATATATATATATATATATAAATATATTTATTCATATTATTGGATAATATAAGTATATATAGTATAAATATTTAAATATGTACTAGAATATAAGTGAGCTTAATCATTAATTTCATAAAAGTAAAAAAAAATCAAGTTTTTCTATGTATTACTGGAAATCAATGTGTTTTACGGCTTATAAGCCATGCAGGCGGTACACATATTTTTGCAGGATCCCACCTGGCCCAGTGTGGGGACTGCCCCCATTGTGGACAGATGTACAACAACCAGTCGTCGCTGAAGTATCATGTGCGTTTAATGCATTCAGACTTAATGCGCCGGCTGTGTTGTTACCTTTGCCCCAGCTCGTTTGTGTATCGCGAAGCGTACAAAACGCACATGCGACAAGAGCACAATGTCAGATTGTGATGAATCGTAATATAATTTGTGTAAGTGGACAAAATTGGTTGTCGGTCAGTTGGAGCATGGTGTATTGTTTGTAATGGGGGAAGTCTCGAGCACTAAACATTCCATATATGTACAAATTCAATAATTAACAATCTTAAAACATAAATAACACCAATTAATTATTTAATATAATATAATATTGATCGTTATAATAGTAATATAATATTAATAACTTTGGCTTTATGTTAATTCTCTAACAATACTGGAACTATACTATATTTGCAAGAATAAATTGATTATTTAATCAACCCTATTTTTACATTTATATTTTTGTTCTAAACAACAATTGGAATACTATGTTATGGGATTATGGCCTTTCTGTGTATACTCAACTACATTTTAGATTTTGAGCAAAGTTCTTATCTTTTTTTTGGAGTTTTAAAATTTAAAAGTGCTCAATTTTCCACTTCATTATATTCGGGTAGAAAAGTGATATTTTTGAGGATTAAAAGTAAAAAAATCTTAATACTTAATTTAATAATTAGGTGAAACAGATGAAATTGGAAAAAATAATGGAAGTTTATTCATAAAACCAATTCTTAACAAAATCATTTTTCCTATTTTATTGTACAAAAAAGTATAACTGTAGGTACTTAAAACTTATTCTACATTTTTAAATTAGCATTTTGTATACATGGTATAATTTTTAACATATTTTGACTATTTATTGACATTTTTGATTTTTGTTTCTTTTTTTTATAAATATTGGTAATACAATTTCCACTCGGACAAAACATTTTAAAATGTTATAAGATTTCTTTTAAGTTGAAAGTTGATATTATAGCTATTTAGTAATATTAAAAATACAGTTAAAAAAATTGTTAAAATCACTAAAAATTTAAAAATATTTTATTGCTATAAATTTATAAAAATGTAAAACCTTTTTTCAAGAGTATTTCAGCATGCTATTGGCTTGTATATTATTTATAAACAATATTAAAATATATTATTTACAGTTTTATAAGCATAGAAATGTATAAATAATATTTCTCAATAATGTCGATATACTAAAAATATTAATGTACCAACATTATAATACAGTATTTTCCCCTATTTTTTTGTTTGAGAATGTTATACACAAATATTTTATGCATTGATGTTAATTTATTTTGTTTTCCATCTACTCAAATTAATTTATTTTCTAGTTGTTTGATTTATATATATATATTAATATATTATGTCCTAGCATGTTTCATAAATATTATTTGGTATGCATTTTGTGCATTATATAACTTTAATTATTCAAATATCTTTTACAGTAACATGTCCGTGTTAAGATATAAGTATAAAATGAGATATTATTAAGAGGACACCATAAATGCGTGGGTTTTCTCTGTTTTGCAAATTTATGGTTAGTAAATTTGCTCTTGTCAGAATCAAGTTTTTGTTGTTAGTTTTAATATTATGGTGAATTAACTTCTTATCAAAGTTAAAAGTATATTAATATTTATGTTTAAGCAATAAACAATGATTTTTTTTTTTGAGGGAAAAATAAAAAAATTTTATTTGTAGATTTCACATACTCATATTTTGTTAAAAATAAAATATTGAAAAAAGCCAATGTTTCTTAACCATAGATTACCTAACCTTTAACTTTAGAAATAAAGTCAATTCACATTTATATTAAAACTAACAATACAATCAGTTCTGATAAACGCTAATTTGCTATGCTATAGGTTTGTTGGACATAACACATGTGGGTAGCATTATGTTAAGTGCATAATTTTATATTTTTGATACTTTTCCACTAGTTAGAAGGATGTGTTAACTGTTCATAGCATATTTGTTCCTAATATATTTTGTAGATATTATAGAGCGAGTACTTAGGTATATAAGCAAAGTATAGAAAGAGTTTGCATCCCAGAAAGTCTGGGCCTATATAGTAATATGGTATATGATATTTTGAAGTTAAAGTTTCTCTTTAAATATAATATCATGAACCAATTTAAATTATTTTACTACTCTAGTTACATTTCAATATATATAATATCTATAATTTTGAGAATTACTTTAATATTTGAAATTTAGTGCTATAATAGTATTTTAGATATTTTTGTTCAATTAAAATTTATACAATATTTTAAAAATTGCTTATTTTAATACACAAAAATATCTAAAATATTAACTCTAAAGCAGGATAATCATTAGTGTAATTTTATATTGATATAAATTTGATATGCCCTTAAAATTAAACTAAATTTTTACTTTTGCAGTATTTAAAAAAAGAAAAATTTTGAGTATAATTAAAATTACATAGTGGTGTATATATAAATTATAAAAATAAATACAAAAATAAAAATTATATTTGAGTGCTTAATTATGATGGAAATTAATAGTTTAAATAGTATTAATAGATTAATAGTAGTCATAGATATATGTTTAAATCATATAAAACAATTTTTAATGTTTATATTAGTCTATGATTTAGAACAATAATAATATCTATCAACTTTTTTTATTAACTAACAATGTTAAATAAAGCAAAATTTATTTTAATGTTGCTTTTATAACGTTTCTGTGTTAAATTATTTATTTATTTTTATTAAGTTTTATACAATCTAAGTTTAATACTGTTATTAATCTGTGTTTAAAAAAGTTATGTATTATTATACATCATAAACATTATGTCTTGCAGGGTATTTATTGATAAGTTAAAACAACAATATTTTAGTTCAATGTTAGTTAAATTGTTCTATGTTTTCCCTAGATCTGTCAAAAGCTCCAACTTGTTTTGTAATAGAATATTATGATGCAATATAGCATTGATTTTTAAAATAAATATTATTTATTATATTTAAGATGAATATAAAATGTTCATACCATAGCCTCAAAATTATAATTTGTTTGAAGTATTATATAATATTTTAGCGTGTATATAATTTAAAATTAATTATCAAGTGATGTTAAATGCAGCGCCCTTTATTTAATGACTAATTACACAAATAATTATTTTGTGTTGGTGAAATGGTACTCAAGTGAAACCACATTAATAATTGCACGATTTACGTTGCACAGTGTTAAATTTTTCTAATTTTGACAAGTTTCTGATTTTTTTTCTTTTATTGACAGACCGTCTAGGCCGCCGACCATGTCCATTATGCCAAAAGGTGATCTCCAACAAGTCTAACTTATTAAAGCATATGCGCATTAGGCATAGTGACGAATACAATCCAGCTGGTTGCAGTGTGTGTGGTAAAGTGTTTAAGAACAAATACAGTTTGCGTGCTCACATTAATATCTACCATAAGGAGCACTCTACTACTACTACTACTGCTACTACCAATACGAGTAATCAAGGTGCATATCAAGTATATAACAATAATGCTGTCCCCCAACAGCAGCCCCAGCAACAACACCCACAACACCAACAGCAACAACAACAACAACAACAGCAACAACACCAACATCAACAATCGGTTCCAGTACAACCTGTACAGCCCATCAACAATTCTACTGGTTCTTATCTGACTGGTTCATCATCAGTTACTTGTTTTAACCAGTCTTCAAATGCCACTTCAACCACTGGTGGCTACATTATACAGCAGCCTCCTACATCACCGTTCCTAAACAAAATCTCATTGGATCTCCCATCTCCATATCAGCTAACAAACCAGGCTACATCTGGGCCGCCTTTATCACCACTTTAACCATTATTTCCAGCAGCATCAGCCGGTGAATTTTTTGATGTTGTCGGATGTGCTTCACGCATGACTCATTTGGAGGTTTAAACTTTCACTTCATCTTCGAGATTGATTACTGACTAATTAATTTGTCATTATTATTATTAAATAAATATATATTTAATTCTATTTTTTCTAGAGGGGGGAAGGGCTTGGTTTGATGTTTGATTAATTTTTACTGGTTTTAATTCATTATTTTTAAATGTATATTGGTATACCCGAAGTATAATATTTTTTATTATTACATTAAAGAAAATGTAAAGTATATATATATAAAGTTTTTAATTTAGAATATATATTATATAGCGTGCCAATAATGATAATGAATAATGAAAATGAAACAATCAAATTATGTTGTATATTTAATATTTATTAATGATGTTTGCTCTTTATAGCAGAATCTAATAAAGGCCAAACGAGTCTAAGACTGAAAAAATAAATGAAACACCCTAATATTATTCAAATATTACTGATGAATAGTATTTTTAGTTCATAATTTTATAAAGAGATTAATACGAAACAAACCTTTTCTCTAAAATAGGGAAAATCATCTTGTACCTTCTCTAAAGTATTTCAATTTATATTCTTTAGCAATAAAATGTATTGTAACATAGTCATAATCATAGATGTATCATGTATAAAGTTAATTTACCAAAGATATATAGAACTGATAAATACCACTAACAGTTTTTTAATTGTATTCAGTCGAATGCTACGTGTACATTTTGCACATTGTTTTGTTTCATATGTTTTCTACTTGTATTAGAAATTGTATACATCGCACAATTATCTTATTTTTGGTTTGCTTCAGGAGTCCTAACATTGTATAATTTGTTAACCCTTAATATTAGTATTTAATTTTGTCGTCAACAATTTTTCACGGGTCTTTTTGTATTATTAATTAGGGTTTTATTTCGTGTAGAATTTAACATTGGTACAACATTATTTATTTGGTTTATTTACCTTTTTTCTGCTTTTTATTCTTATTTTGTAATTTAGTGAAACATAGTATTTCTTTATTTTTTGGGTTCCAAAGTGTGTATTGACTGATATAGTTTATAGTATTAAAATAAAAAGAGTGGAAAATTATTTTATATGAATATATATATATATATATATTTTTTTTCCAACAGAACGAGTCATCTAATGTTTTTTTTTATTTATACATTAAATATTAATATATATTTTATGTTCTTGTATGAGTAATATTAATTGTAATGAAATCAAATATATATTTTATTTAGGCTAATTTGAGTGTTATGTTTTTGACCGTCCTTACTGTACATCCATCATCCATGCACTGTTCGCTTCTATAGTCTGACTATGGGTTCATGTTGAAAACAATTTATTGTTTAATTTGTTTATAACATAGTTCTTCTAACGGCAACACTATTTCGAAATTTAAAATTTTAATTCTATTTAAAAATACAGAAATTAATGATTATTGGTTATTATATATATTTTATACGGAATCGAAAAAAAAAATTAAAATTGAGAGGATGTGAATTGATGATAGTCTCAAGTAAACTTTATAACGAATTTATTATTTGAATATGCTTTCAGATAATCATTCCATAATTAGATTTGAAAATGTAATGGACTTAAAAAAGGTTTTATAACCTAAAAACTTAAATTAATGTACTTTTATTATTTTTGTTTTAAATATATTTTGGATCAAATTTAAAAAAAAAGTTTTGCAAGACTACACAATTTCAAGTCTCCGGTATAGTGAAGTTGAATTATAATCTGCTTAAAAGAATTATTCTTATTTGATTAATTGTCATAGCAATTCGCAACTCAAAATCTCAATTTTTACGACGCACAGATCCGTTCGAAAAATTACCATTAATAAAATTAAATTTAGTAAAAATCTTGTTAAAAAAGTTTTTTTAAAGTTAATTTTAAAATATCTTAAAAACCATACAATGCTCTAACAATAAAAAAATTACCTAAAAATTTAAAATTGTTAAAAAACAAAAAATTAACTTGAGTGATAAATTGAAAAAATTGAGAAGTAAACACGGGTACTTATTATTGTTAAATGCATGAAAAAGTAAAAAATTTTGCTTCAAAAGTATATATACAAATTGATGCAATTTTATACGGATACACATAGTAAACTTAAATTTAATTGTTGATTTAATATTTAAGAGTTTGATTTGAAATAAATTTTTAAAATAATAACAGTACCTATCAACGATTTATCTGCATATTCGTTGTATTCAGGGGCGGGCTGGGGTTAAAAAAACTTACACCAAGATTCAGAATTTTTTTTAGGGGAGGGGCACACACTGTTTACAATTTTATCAAATATGCTACCAAAAAGAAAAAAATTAAGCAGGCAAGATGCATAGAAAACAAAAAAAAAAGTCATCAGATAAAAAAGGTTCGCAAGCCGCCAGTTGCCCACTTCTAAAGTATACGAATAATAAAGAATATAAATCTTTAAAAAAAAAAAAATAGCAAATACGGCCGATCAGGAGGGCATGACCCTAGCGGCGCCTCTCCTTAGATATTCCACTCCCGGGATTTAGGTCTCGGCGAGCACTGTTCATAACAGTATTGTGTATTTACGAGTAAACGTCAAGAATATTGTAGATTCGTAGAGAGCATCAAATTTTACAAGTACCTACGTCTTAGGTTTCGAATGCCTTAGCAATATTTAAGTATTGTGCTTACTGTTCTTGAGCATCGCTTAAAATTGCACCAATTTTGCGTGAAAGTTTTTAAGTTACATCGATCGTACATGCACAAACAGCGACCACCTACTGACGATAAAAAAATTATAAAAAGTTATTTATATAAATAAATTATGTGTAAAGTGGTCCATCTAAGATTCAGAGGGATCGATATAGTTATAAACTAGGTATTATATATATTATACATTTTACAGAGAAACATTTGTGGTGGTTGTGACTTACATTAACGTTATTCTAGATGATCAACTAGAACACACTTTTTCCTATATATGCGATGGAATCCATTAGTTATGACGGTGGAAGTAAATAGTTGCTAGCTTGCTCGTCGTTGCACTTTTTTTAATCAACGCAAATACCTCGTTTTTGATACTTATCAATGTAACAATTTACAAACATTTTTAAGATTGTAGATAAATATCTGGCAGCGGTGCTTCTCCAGTTGTTATTCGTTATCGTTGACTTTTTTTTAATCCAACATATACACATCAATAAGAAAATGTATTTTTTAAATCGTCGACAGTAAAACAATATTATCATTTGTTTAGATTTTATTATATTTTATTTGTCAAAACTATGTCCGCCGAATTGTGGCATTTTCTTAAGACCACTCGCGTGTTGTATCGTCTTAGAAGTTACAAGTGCATACCTAACTAGCATAGTAAAATAAATGTTCAGCAGTTCTTAGGGCTCATTTTCTAAAAGACCATTTCTTCAGTACCTAAGTTAGCTAAGTTTTTCATTTTTATAGCATTAACAGTAGAAACTGCAACTGACAACCATACTTAAGTATAATATTTTATGGAATAAAAATTTAACATTCAGTTCATAGTTGTATCACTAAAGCAGTAAAGTGTATAGAATATAGATAACTTAGGGTTGTATCCATCAAATTCTGATAGGGAAGGGGTCCAGACCATTCCCCGTAAATATGCCGTTAATGAGTGATGGATGAGAATGTACAACGTAATAATATACCTAATATACGGAAATGATTTATCAGTGATCACTGCGTGTAGTTCATCGGCGCAGGATAATGGATCGCGGCATGAAATTTGAGTTGTGTATTGATGTCTGAAGACTGGCGTGAAGAATAAAAGAACACTGAATAATTTCGTTGAAGATAGTTTTATTATATCCACTAAACAAATCATTTTATTTTTTTTAAGCAAAGTTAAATATATAATTTCTTTTAATTACATAAACATTGAATAGTATCCATAATAGGTATATATTTCTACTTAAATACACACATATATATAAATCTATATATATATATAATATATTGAAAACTCATCATTTATCTTTTTATTTCCATCTCATAAAAATTAACAATTTTCTTGCTCATAGCACAAAATAAAAATAGCGTAGAGGAACCAAACGCCGGATATAGTAGAATAATATATATTATATAGAATTTTTTTTTTTTAAATATATATTATTTAAAAATAAATATAGCAAAATTGTATTAAAATGTACATTTTAAAGTTTAAAGCCTTAGAGGTAACTAAAAATGGTGTGATTTCTATAAGAAAATTTCTTTTTCTGTAATTTTAATGAATAAAGTTATTTTAAAATTTATATTTATGTATAAATATAGGTATCTATTCATATATATATATATATAAATTAATTAATAAAAATTCTTAAAAATTCTAAAATTGCTCTAAATATATTTTATTCATTAATATACTTAATCGACCAGGCGTTACTGTTATTTTAAATTTATAACAAAAATAATACTTTAATATGAACAACGTGTCAATTAAATATTATAGCTTAAAAGAGTTGTTTATAAATAAATTAGATATTAGACGGGTGTAAATAGGCGTTAAAAAAAAAAAAATAAATAAATAAATAAAAATACAGTAAATAAATAAAACATCTCTAGGATTTAAAATAAATAAATAAAAAAAAAAACTAAACATTCATTATATATTGTTTTGGTTAATATTGGTATACACATAGAATAGATATATATATATATAAAATAATAATAAAACGTTGGTGAAAAGTGAAAAAACAAAAACCTAACGTTGTTGGGAGCTGACTCTTTTCAAGTACACACACATATACATATATATATATACTTTGTATTTTCAAAGCGAGTATAAAGGAATAAAATATTATAATGTATATATATATATATATATAGTATAATTATTATTATTATATAGCTGTCGTCGATGATGATAATACATTGTAAGGCAGTTAAAAAGGTATACACACACGAACGGCGTTGAAATTAAATACAAATCTGAATTAAAATAAAATATAAAGACACACGCGCGTGGCGTGAGGAAAAGATGATATATATTATTAATATCAAGTAATATATAATACGATGCGAGAGTCGGCGGAGGCGGCGTGTATGTGTGTGTGTGTGTTTAAGTGAACGCGTGTTCGGGTTGTGAAATAAAAAATATACGATCGCGCAAACGACACAGTTTTGGGATTTTTATGGGGAGGGAAAGGGGGTCGAGATGGTCCTCGTCTACCTTACACCTTCTTCAGCGTGAAGAAGCTGCGGCGCTTGGGCTCGT